TCTTTTCCTTGTTTGACGACTGTATCTGTCGTCCTTCTTTTTTGTCGAACTTTTTCCCGTCCGACTGTTTCACTGTACTACAAAGATCAGTTGCCTGTATATAGGCTTCTGCTTCAATCAAGGCCTCCTGAAGAGTCGCCACCCTCTTTCGAACCAAATCAAATTTGAAGGTCGACCCGTCTTTGAGACCCCTGAAAAAGTCAGTATAAGCTACCTCATCCGGTAACCCTTGAATCTGTATTCTCATCAGGTTAAACCGCCTGATGTAGGATCGAAGCCCCTCCTTCTCACCCTGCTGAATTGTTCCCAAATCAAGGGTCGTCTTCTTCGCAGGAATGTTCATGGCGAAGTTGGAGGTGAACAAGTAAGCAAGCGTCCTGAAGTTGTTTACACAACCAGTCGGCAGGTTGCCGAACCATTGCTGTGCAATCCCTTTGAGAGTCGGTGGAAAACACTTGCACCAAGTGGGATCATCCAACCCTTGAAGGTACATTAGGTTGGAGAATGCCATCAGATGATCTTCTGGGTTAGTAGTGCCATCATAGGCGCCTACTAACACATTTTTCACTTTGGCCGGCTGAGCGGCTTCAGTGATTTCCTTGGAGAAGGCCGACGGCTGTTCACCAAGTCTAAGCAACCGTAGCTGCCAGTCCAAAGGTTGGACATTTTTAGTTGCGTGTCCACCAAACGGAGGTGGCTGCATAAAATACTGTTGTGGTACAAACGGTAAGATTGGTACCGCCTGGTCGCTATGAAAGCCTGACTGACGGGAGGTGCCGCCTGACTGACTCTCATGATACGACTGGGTATGCCTCATCGAGGTATTTCGCACTTTCTTGAAAATTTGAAGTAGAGGCCGACTCTGGCAGTCGGTCACTCTTCTTCTGTTCTAACAGCAGACGAGCGTCTGTGTATGTTTTCTTCGACCCGTCCGCCTGAATGTGACGAACAGGTTTCCTATTTCCTGGAGTAGGAAAACGGTATTTTGTGAGGTCAAGGGCAGGCGGCTCCCACTTCCTGGATTTAGGATGAGGAGTTCCCTCTCGCCCTTGAACCGGCTTCCTCTTGCCTGAGGTGGAAGGTTTCTTAGCCGACTGTTCCTTGGCCGGAACAGGCTTCTTATTAAGCAACTCTTGAATTTCTCCCTTGAAGTCCCTCATGAAGGTCATGAGTTCGTTCCTTGTGATGGGAGCAGACCCATCAGTCGCCTGCTGCCGAACAGACGGTGCGACTGTTGGCTCGCTTACAGTTTGAAAATGTTCCCGTTCCCTCCTTTCGGTCTGACGGGTACGTCGGGCCCTTAGGGTCCCGTCTGGAGCTGTGTGAGCTTCAACTTCAAGTTCATTGTCAGTATCATGGTCCGACTGAACTTGAGGGTCGTCTAGGGGACGCCTCTCTTTAGGAGTCGGTACAGACGTGGATGCCATCTCAGAAGTACTCTCCCCACAGACGGCGCCAAAATGTTTCGGGGTTTTCTGGTGTCCTGCGGGAGAGTTACAACACCGAGACTGGAACCGGACGCCTGTACCTGCAAAACAACGAAGACTCCTTGTGGTAGGAGCTCCGCCTCCAACGGTCAAGTTAGTACCTGATTAAGGAGTAATAAGTGCGGAAAGTAAAGGGAGGAAATCTGGTTCCTCTAGGGGAGGAGTGATCAATGTATTTTGGTTTTCTCTAGGTGAGAGTCATTAATTGCTGAATCGCCTTTAATGAGGATTAATTAAGTATTTATAGTCTTGGGAAGCGTGCCAATCCTAGGTTTAGGTTAACCAGGGCAAATTGGGCTTCTCTCGGACTTTGGGCCTTGTTGGCCGGTTTTCCCATTTGGCATGGGTGGACACGTGGCGTGTCTCAATTGGTCCGTAGAGGACGTATCTGTGATTGACACGTGGCAGACTCCTATTGGCCTACGTGAAGGACACGTGGCGGAACCTGGTTGGTCCACTTGTCAGACGGTGATTGGTGGATAAAAATCCCCTAATCAGTAATCATCAACAATAACTAACACATATTTCTCGCCACTCCTACTCTGAACTCTCATGGGGCCACACAAATCCATATGAATAAACTTTAATGGTTTTGTGGTGCTCACCATCTTTTTAGCTCGAAAAGAGTTTCGGACATGCTTTCCTTTTACGCAGGCATCACAGATTTTATCATTCAGGAACTTGATAGCTGGTAATCCTACTACCAAGTCCTTTGACCTGATTTTATCAATTAAAGAGTAGCTAGCATGACCAAAACGTTTGTTCCAGAGTAGAGAGTCACACTCAATAACACTCAAGCATGTAAGGCTACTCTTTGGGATTGAGTCAAGGTTAACCACATAGGTATTTCCTCTTCTCGTTCCTTTTAGAATAACCTTTCCTGATCTGCCATTGAAGATATGACATTCATCAGAAGTAAAGCTTACCAAGTTTCCTCTATCACAGAATTGTGATATGCTAAGTAGATTATGCATCAAACCCTTGCCCAGGAACACGTTCCTATTGCATGGGAGGTTGACTTTCCAATTTTTCCTTTAGCAATGATTTCTCCTTTCTTGTTGTCTCCGAAAGTCACTGTTCCTCCTGGGTAGGTCTCTAGTGAAAAAAACTTTGATTTGTCTCCTATCATATGCTTTAAACAACCACTGTCGAGGTACCATAGGTTGTTCCCCCTCATTAGGACCTGCAAGAAAACTTAAGTGTTAGTTCCAGGAACCCCGGGATCCTTGGGTTTCTTTGATGTTGAGGCGATATCAGTTTTCCTTACCCACACTTGCTTAACATTTCTTTTATCATGTTCCATTTTCTTTCTACGGTCAGAATGCAAATGTCTCATTTTTTCAAAGAAAGTACAAACTTTGCTACTTGGTAGGTCTACATATTTTTTCTATTTACTACCTTTCCTTTTGGACTCATACCCAAGTCCTTCAGTTCTTTTGACTTGAGCATCTTTAATGCATTTAGGAGTAGTGTAGGAAATATTTCAAGCACTATCCCAAACTCAAACCCCACTGTGATCATACACTTAAGTATGGTGGCATCTAAAGGAAAATAAACAAGAGCAAAAGAGTCGCCAACAAGTTTTAGGAACTTGTAAACCGTTCACAGGGTGAAGGTTACACCCTTTAACGATCCATGAGATTGTCAACTCCAATAGGTATGGAACCAAGAATGGATATTCGGGGATGAGGGTACGAATCCAATCTAAAATAGAAAGAACCCGCCCTATAAATAGGCCTACACTTTATTCTACTTGTATTCATGTGTGCTTTCTGACTAACATGCAAACATTAGGTTAACCCTAAACCTGTTTATCTATGTTGGTTGAATATTAATGCACAAATAAAGCTATTATTGGCGATCACTTGAATTAAAATCATATTAGCCTAAACCAAATTATTAATTATCTTATTAGGCATGATTTCAAATACAAATTCCCTTTAAACATGCATAAAAGGCGTGATCAAACAATAACAATAATAATGTATCAAGCAAAATAATCGTAATCATAATTACAATCATCATATCAACAGTAAAGCTTAATAATAATAGCAAGATCCTAGGCATGATACAACAAGATTAATAACAAATCCTACCATGTCACTAAACATTAAAGATCAAACCTTTAAACCTAACATGCTATTAGAAAGAATAAAAGGCAACCTAAGCATGATACTAGAACATTGAAATAAAAAGGGAGTAAGCTAATCACTTACTTTGAAACCTCGTACCTCTTTCTAATAACAAAATACACAAGTTAGTAAACTTCAACAAAAATAATAAATCAAAGAATTAAATAAAAGAATTGAAAGGAAAGAGTTAAAAAGCTTAGACTAGATTTGGGACCAAACCCTCATAAATTATCAACCTTTCACGTCTAGGGTGAAGGAAACTTCGAACTTGGCTAGGTGTGTCTAGAACTAACGTATGCGGTATGGTGTTTGCAAAAGGGTTGGTTTAGAAAGAGAGAGAGAGAAAGCTATATTGCTCAAGAGATAAGAGAGATAATTAGAGAATTCTAGGTGATTTGAAAACGGAGGTTAAGGACCCTATTTATACGAAAAATAGTCCAAAAATCGATAGAAAAGAGTTATAATTTGAATCGGAATAAATAACCTCCTGTCGCTAGACAACAGGGTTTGTCGCCAGGCAACGGGATTGTCGTTTGGCGCTAAGACAGTTTTTTTGCGGATTTTGTTTTTATCATATCTTTTGATCCAAAAGTTAAAATTAGGCATATAATATGTCGTTGGAAAGCTCTTAAAGTCTACTTTTCAACCCAATTAGAATCAGATTAAAATATTTTGTAAATAAAAAGATATGGTTGAAATAGTGGAAGGGTATCAGTTTTGGATAGAGTTTGTATTCCTTTCATATCTTTTCCGTTATAGCTCGGAATTAATATTATAATATACCATTGGAAAGATAATTTCAAGATCTATCCAATCATATAAAATTTGGATAAATATTATGAGGCACAAAAATAATATCTGACTGTCTTTAAACATCTTTAAATTCGAATAGAATTAGGACTTAGAAAAGGAAAGTTTTTATTCAAATTCTAACTCTATGATCTTATCTTTTCAAAAAGGATAATTAAGATCTTTTAGAAACTCACAGAAGCTTATAATAAATTCTAATTAGTTTAGGAATAGGATTAAACCTTTGGACCCTCCTCATGATCATGATCATTGGGTCGTAGCACTAGGCGAAAATATCATTTGGCCACCGGTTCAAAACCCCCCTATGCCACCGGTTTTGAACCGGTGGTCATTTGGGGGGTGGCAATAAACTGAAGCAAAGCCACCGGTTCAAAACCGGTGGCAAAATCAAGTATTGCCACCGGTTAACCGGTGGCAATAAACCTTCCCGCAAAATTTTTTTATTTGTATTAACAACTATTGCCACCGGTTAACCGGTGGCAATAATGCCCTAAAAAAACAATTTTTGTTTTTTTTTTTTTTGCATTTTTTTCACTTAAAATGTAGCAGAAACATGTATATATGCATAATATACATGAAACACACATATATTCATCAATAACTAGTAATTGTACACTTTTTAAGAGTGAAAAAACTAAATTAATAACTACAAATAAATTACTCATACAACAATTCCAAATAACTAAATTAATGAGATTACAAACTAAAATTCCAATATTAAATTAAAAAAAAAATTACAACATAAAAACAAAAAAACCCAACATCTAATTCAATATTCTTGCATGTTCTTCAATTTAAGATCTTGATCAATATACCTGCATCAATTAAAACAAAAAAATAAATCGATTAAAATAAGCTGCCAAAAAAAATTGAAATAACCAAAACACTATACATATATGTAACCATTAATTGATTAAAATCAGTTAAAAAAAACCCACATAAACAAAAACAAAAACCCAGAAAAAAAATAAACAAAAATAAAAAAAAAACCCAGAAAATGATTTTCACGAAGTCAGAAAAGAAAAAAAAAAACAGAATCAAATCGAATTAAACCTGGAATTAAAATCGAATTTTCTGTCAAATTTCTTTTTAAACTAAATGTCACATTTTTTTTTAAGTACCACCATCTCACACCAGCAACCACCCCACCGCCTTAACCCACCACCTTAACCCACCATCCGCACCACCTTAACCTTCACCAGAACACCCACCTTCACCCACCAGACCCACCCACCAACTTAACCCACCTACACCGAACCCACCTACCAGACCCACCTTAACTCACATGCACCGAACCCAACTAACAATTGATTCACGAACTCAAAAAAAAAACCCAGAATTAAAATTGATTAAAATCGATTAAGAAACTCAAAATATTCCAACAAAATCCGATTAATTAAACCAAGAAAATCAATTAATTAAACCCAGAAAAACCAATCGATTAAACCCTGAAAAACCAATCGATTAAACCCAGAAAAATCAATCAATTAAACCCAACAAAATCCGATTAATTAACCAAGAAAAATCAATTAATTAAATACAAACCTCGTGCTTGTCTTAGTGGTGCATGTTTTCGTGGTGTTATTGTTGCGGTGGTGGTCTTGGTGATGGTGGAAATGAAAGAGAAGGAGACGAGGAGATTGAAGGAGAAGAGGGAGAAGGAGACGACAGGAGGGAGAAGGAGATGAGAAAGAGAAGGAGGAGATCTAGGGGAGAACTGTTCGTGGAGAACAGAGACTACGAGAGAGAAAGAGGAGAGGGGAGAGCAGGAGAGAGAGGAGCAGGAGAGAGAATGAAAGAGCGGCTGATGAGAGAAATAAGGTAGGGTTTGGGGTTTATAAGGGGGGCGTTTTTTTTTTTAATTGATTATTGCCACGGGTTCAAAACCGGTGGCCTTTACCATTTATGTCACCGGTTCGGTTTGAACCGGTGGCAATGTGAATTAGCCTATCCCGCCCATTTTTAAGCCACCGGTTTTCGAAAATCGGTGGCCATAGAGCGGTGGCATTTTCAATTTTTCTACTAGTGTAGGTAAAATCCGATTCGGGCCCAGTTTAGTATTTTGGGCATAACTTCCTCATTATTCATCGAAATTGGGCTTATAATATATCGTTAGAAAGATCTTTTAAAGCCCCATCCAACTACACCATTATTAGACCCTTATCATGGATCAAACTAAACTAGATTGGACGTTTTTATAAATAGAATACGAAAAAGGTTTATGAAAACTGAAAGAAAGATTTTTAATAAAAACAACCGCAACACTAGATTTTTCACACTTTCACTTCATTCGATTATCATTCGATGTGAAAGATATTCATCACAGGGTTTAGTTTTGGGGAGACACAAATGGGTGTCTACAAGTAGCAGTAGGATCAATACTTTTACTTTTTCTACCCTGCAGTTCCCTTTCCAATTTATCCTTGTGAGTTTTTAAATTATCAAGATCTAACTTGAGTTTTTCAAAATCAGCGTTGAATTTTTGCATGGAATCATTAAAGGAACTTCTAGAACCAATATCAGTACTGATAAGTTTATACTGTGAAAGTTCCACAGTTAACATGACATTTTCCTTTTTGACTCTTTCAAGAATCTCAGACATTAGAAGATATTTATCATGTAGTTCTCCAAATCTAGTTTGGATGTCATTTCGTGCTGTTTCAAGCCAAGCACTATGATCCTTCCAGATTTGTAGAACTTTTTGACATTCATTCTTTTGCATGCATTCATCACTTAGATTAACTTCCATTTCAACAATTAGATCAAATTAATGCATCTTTGGATAAAATTCTAAGTTGAGTAGTATCAAAGTTACTTTCACTTACCTTTTCAAGTTCCTTGAGGTATGCACGCCTTTCATCTGATTTGACCATCAAGCAAAGATTTGCAACTACCTCTTCTGGTTGATCTTCATCTTCTTCACTCTTAGAATCTTTCCAAGCAGCTATCATAGCTTTCTTGACATCAGTCTTTGAGAAGGGAGTCTTGTATATTTTTCTTTTCCCTATTCCTTGGCCTTCCCTTTTCTTTTCTCAATGTCCTACTAAGGACAATCTCTGATGAAGTGGTCCGTTGATCCACATTTGTGACAACCATAGTCTGGTTTGGAGTTGGGGGATTTCTTTTGACAGTTTCTGGAGTTCCGACCATTCCTGTTGAACATCCGCATGAATTGCCTAACCAGCATTGCACCCTCTTCTTCATCCACTTCAGAATCCTCTTAATCAGCTTTTAATGCCAGCCCTCTGTTCTTGTTGCCTTCACTGTTGCTAGTTCCTAGTTGAAGCTCATGTGTCATAAGTGAATCAGCAAGTTGTTAAATGTTGAACGTTGTGAAGTCCTTCGTTTCTTGGAGGGCAGTCACCTTAGCTCTCCAACGTTCATCCTGAGGTAGACTCCTGAGCACCTTTCTAACCTGCTCATCAGTAGGAATTTTTCTACCAAGAGAAACTAGTTCATTAATAATGTTAGTGAATCTAGTAAGCATTTCCTGGATAGATTCTTTGGGTTGCATCTCAAAACGTTCATACTTATACATAAGTAGATCAATTTTCGAACGTTTCACTTCATTGGTTCCCTCATGGGTAACCTGAAGTAGATCCCAAATTTCCTTAGCATTCTTGCACCCCATAACACGATTGTGTTCATGTGGTCCAAGTCCACAATGAAGCATCTTAACCGCAATAGCATTGATTTCCATTTTATCAAAGTCTTCCTTCTCATATTCAGACATTGGTTTAGGAATTACCTCGTGTTGAGCATTGGTTTTGGTTACTTCGAAGTTTGATGAAGATCTCCATCCTGTTCTTCAAGTATGTATGGAATTTCCCGTTCAACATAGGAGGTCTTTGAGTAGAGTACCCTTCTTCAAGTTTTTCGTGAGAATTCATCTTGGGCCAAGATTCTCCTCTTCAGGGTGTCTTGATTCCGATAGGAATAGGCTCTGATACCAATTGTTACTTTAGAACAATACTACAAGAGGGGGGTGAATTGTAGTAAGAGAGAATTTAGCTAACTTTTTTGCGGAATTGATAAAACTAAGCTAGAGGAATGTTAAAGTCACACAAAGAGATTTTACCTGGAAAACCTCTTGGCCCTAACAAGAGGAAAAACCACGACCACTTGGGATTTTAGGAAATATTCTTCATTATAATAGGGCAAACAACCTATTACAAGCTAAAAGATATATCTTTAAGTTCCTCTAAGAACTGGAAGTTCCCAGCAGCAAGTCCCTCAACTTGCCACTCTTCGTTCTTTTCTCTTTTCTTTTCTCTCTCTTTCTCTACTGACTTCTCTCAGAGTTCACTCAAACTCTCAATTCCCAAATACAATTCTAAAACACAATACTCTAGTGAATGTAATTAAGAATGTTAACACATAAGTAGAATGCGCTTCTTGACTCTTTAAGAAAATAAGAAAGATAAAAAGATGTGATTGAGCAAGGTGAAGTTTTCCAAAGAACAACTTTGATATTTATAGGAAAACATAGCCTGATTAAAGCGTCACAACTTCCTCCACTTACACCACTACTGCTGCACATCAACACCACTTCTTTCTACCATTACCAGAGCTTCAAACGTGTCCCAAAAACCAGGGTACTTTGATCCTCTTAGAAGCAGGTTTTTGCGTTAGTGGTGAAGACTAAATCAACAACTAGTTGCGCAAGTTTAGGAAGTTAGGTTTTCTAATCAATTCAAATATATTTTTCCAAAATAAAAAGATATTAAATAAAGATAAGATCAGAAAAGATATTTTCAAAAACCATCTTTCCTATTTTTTAGCAATCAAAGAAATTCTATCTTTTTAACCAATTAAAATCGCATTCCACTTATCATCAACTCCTAATTATTCTCACTTACATAAAACCTAAAAGATAAAAATATTTTATTCTTTATTTCTCTAAGAAGTCTCTGCTCCGAGTCTTCTTTCTTTAGCTTCTGCTCCGAAGCTCCAGTTCCTTCACAAGAACACTACAATTGGTCTTTTAGCTCTTGTTCCTTTGCCTTGAATTAATCCTGCAACTTAACATAAGCAAACTACAAAACTTATTAAGGCATTAGTCTATCTATTTGACTTGTGTTATCATCGAAACATCAAGGGAAACAATCCTCTATTCATAAAAAGAAGTGCTAGAGACCTCGCAAACAGAAAAAAAAAAAAAAAAAAAAAAAAAAGATGGCCAAATGAAATAGAGGTGATTACTTACGAGTTTAGGCGAAAAACGGATCTGGCTATAGTTCATCTTTTGTCTAATGGATTTAATATAGCAAACTCAAGCCCTTTTTATGTGGCTTGACAATTAGTCTATACTCACCAGGGCTTGTTCGTGGGCTAACGGACTCAGGACTTCTTATTGCAAGTTTTCTCCTACAACAACAAGATTTGTTTGCAACTTTTACATAAAAGTTCTCATACATTGAGGAGGATGATATAGATTGATAACTCATGGTGTTAAAAATTTGTAGTTAAGTAAATAAGAGGGATGCTATGTATCGAGAATTTATGCAAAAAACGGGTGAGAATCAAAACTAACAGCTACTTTCCTTAAATTTCAAACTAGACGTTGTACTTCCAAAAATAAGGGTATTTTGTGTAATTATTTAACAAAGTTAGGGCATTTGGTGAATTAAATGTTATTGCTAACAAAACTTTAACGTCAGGGGTATTTTGAGGTCACGGTGTGAATATTAACAAACGTCAGTGGTATTTGGTGAATTTTGAAAAACTTGATGGTATTTGGTGAAATTTTGAAAAGTTCAAGGGCATTTGGTGAAAAAACTGTTTATATAATTGTTATGTACATGAAGTAAACTTGTTACTCCGGATTATTTTTTTGTAGTTAAAAAAGTTAACTTATTACTCCCTCCGTTTCATAATGTTAGTCCCATATACTATTTTAGGCGTTTTAAAAAAATCTACCCATATTCAATATATTTCATTTATAACTTTTTTTTTTTGGAATTAATTGATTGTGGATTGATGACATGACTTTAAGTAAGAAAATTTTTGCCTTAAATTATGCAATTATGACTTGTGTTTTCCTAATAAAAAATCAAAAAAGTTAAATAAGGTAAACTAATTATGAATTATGTTGTACTTTAATGTTAGATTCCAAATATATTTGTTCTCTTATTTTATGTGATTGATTCCATATGAGACTAACATTATGAAACGGAGGGAGTAATAGTTAGTAAATGTAATAGTATAAGAACTGGAAAAAAGGTTAATAACTAATTATGGTAGGGTTAAATTCGGAGCGGCTAAAAATCAAATCGAGTTAAAATTGGGTCGGGTTAATATCAGTTCGGGTCAAAACAGATCGGATAAGGTCTTCTTTCGGGTCAATTTCGGATCAGGTTGAGCTCGGGTCGGGTCAAATTGGTTCAGTTTGAGTTTAGGTCGAGTCAAATCGAATTTGGGTTGTTTTTAGTTCCGATTAAATCGGTGTCGGGTTAAGTTCAGATCGGGTCAAGTTCAGATTCAGGTTGAGTTCAATTCGGTTACAGATCGGCTTTGTTTTGAATTTCTCGAATCAAATTGGATCGGTTACAGTTAGAAACGGATAGATTTTTTCGGGTCGGTTTGGTTTTGACACCTCTAGGCGGACGGTGTATAAAGTTGGGATTACTAAAAGAAAATCAAAAGTTGGGATTATTTTGAACGGACGGAGCAAAGTTGGGATTATCTTTGGCAATTTTCCAATAAAATAACATACTATGCTTTATAATTGAAGAATTCTTACTTTCAAAGTTCAAACGAAAGCCGAAATGTTGAGGAACTTTTAATTTGGTAGCGAAGGCCGAAGAGCATTGAAATAGGATTTTTGTACTATTTGTGTTTCACGGATAAATGATAAAGTTACGTTTATTATTGAACAATCGATTTGCTTGTACTGTTGTACATCAGCAGGAATTTGGCCTAAGGGGTTAATT